TATTAGCCATCAAACCTCAAAAGTACACTTTTCCCAAAAGGTTTCCACAATTTTGGCCACTACTGTAGGTAACAATCATCAGTGCTGGTAAGGAGTGCTGTTTGCGGTCAGTTTATATTCTGGTGTCTTGCCTGTCTGTGTGGGTGGGGAGTGGTCTTAAGAGAATCTTTGATTTAAACTTCTACAAGAAAACAAGCAAGCTCAGAGATCACCAAGGACCCCTTATTTACAAGTTGCCAGAGCTGTACAGAATGCAAGCGCCAACTTGCGGGTTCTTAGCTCCTACTGTTGAAAAACCCATCTATTTTCAGTTGCCAACAGGCCCCCAATTCAGAATGCTGATTACCATCTGTAAAAAGTCTGTATGGATAGGATCCGGTTAGAAATCCCTCCCTCTTGATTTAGATCCTGACCTGTGAAGAGGTGAGAGCAACATGGACTGCAACAGGAGTTTCCAAACTTTCTCAGGCCATGGAAATTGTTAGTTTAAAAATAAATAAATAAATAAATCCCAGAATCTCTGAACAGGAGGCAGAGCTCAAGAGATAGAAAATTGGTTGCGTGCATCTCTTTGTTTCTTGGAACCCCATCCTGTTCTTGAGGAACCCATATTCTGTGGGACCCAGGTTGAAAATCCTGGAGTATAAGAAAGCCCTTCTTGATGATAGTAATAGTAATAGTAATAAAGTTGGAAGGGACCTTGGAGGCCATCGAGTCCAACCCCCTGCTCAGGCAGGAAACCCTATACCATTTCGGACAAATGGCTGTCCAGTCTCTTCTTAAAAACTTCCAGTGTTGGAGCATTCACCGCTTCTGGAGGCAGATTGTTCCACTGGTTAATTGTTCTAACTGTCAGGAAGTTTCTCCTTAGTTGCAGGTTGCTTCTCTCCTTGATTAGTTTCCATCCGTTGCTTCTTGTCCTGCCTTCAGGTGCTTTGGAGAATAGTTTGACTCCCTCTTCTTTGGGGCAGCCCCTGAGATACTGGAAGACTGCTATCATGTCCCCCCTCATCCTTCTCTTCATTAAATTAGACATACCCAATTCCAGCAACCGTTCCTTATATGTTTTAGCCTCCAGTCCCCTGATCATCTTTGTTGCTCTTCTCTGTAGTCTCAACATCTTTTTTACATCGTGGTGGTGACCAAAACTGGATGCAGTATTCCAAGTGTGGCCTTACCAAGGCATTGTAAAGTGGTATTAATACTTCACGTGATCATTATGAAAATGCTTCCCCTGGATGTAGAGAGTGGGTTTTATAGGTAACCCATGGCTTATAACCATTCTTTTAGTGACACTGAAAAAAGTGACTTACAACTGGTCCTTGCATTTAGGATGGACGCAGCATCTCCATGGTCAGGTGACCAAAATTTGACCACTTGGCAACCAGCATGTATTCACAAGGGTTGCAGTGTTCCAGGGTCACATGACCCCTACTTGCAACCTTCCCAGCTGGCTTCCAACAAACTGGGAAACCAGATTTACTTAACTGCATGATTCATTTAACAACTGCAGTGATTTGCTTAACAACCATGGCAAAAAAGATCATAAAATCGGTGATGATTCACTTAACAAACTACCTTGCTTAGCAATGGAGATTCTGCTCTCTATTGTAGCCTAAGTTGTGGACTACCTGTATTCAGCAGATTGTATAGTTATTTTTGATGATTCTTGTATAGGAGGATTTGCTTTGGAGATTTTTTCTGTTTCAATGGAGCAGTATAAAACTGCTCAGTGCAAGATCTCCGTAAGCTTTTATGATTCAAAAAGCAGATGTGTCCAAGTCCTGCAATGGGTGGTCTCATTCATACGTGAAAGTCTCTAAAAACCCAGATTGAGCACCTTCTGACTTCCTGTGAATGGTAGGTGCTATATAAATGCCCAATAAGTCACGTTATTTTATTTGAATATTTTTTGCTGTCTCAGGAAGACATGTTTACGCAACTGATGAGTTGATCCAGAGGTGAATGGTGTATCTCCTTTCACTTACAATAGTGGTATGGGAATTGCCCCAGATGTTTTGCAATTCTGGAGTTTTAGTTTACTTATTTTGTTTATTTATTTATTTGCCAAATTCCTTTAGCTGCCTCACAGACAAATCAAGGAAGGGACTCTGGACGATCTACAACAAAGCTAAAACAAATTAATAAATATCTGAAAAATTATATTAAAAACATTTAAAAACCTTATAAAAACAAAGTAACTGTATTAATGCTTCAAGTAGCTTAATGCAGGGAACGAGTCTAGCACATCTGAACAGCTTTCTCCACTAGCAGCACAAATACCTGTTATCACTGCTGTGAGATTTATTGCAAATATGGTTGTGTGATTTGTACAGTATGGTGGTTAGACTGCAGCATTGCAGGCTTACTCTGCCCACAGCCATCAGTTCAATCCTGACCAGCTAAAAGTTGACTCAGCCTTCCATCCTTCCAAGATGGGTAAAATGAGGACCCAGGTTGTTGGGGGGGCAATATGCTGACTCTGTGTGTTTAGAGAGGGCTGTAAAGCGGTATATAAATCTAAGGGCTATTGCTATTGCATTTCTAATATGAAATAGCTTTATTTCCACATATCCTGCATTCACTTGGTAGCATTACAGATAATCCTCGGCTTAACAACCATTCATTTAGTGACCACTTGAAGTTACAACTGCACTGAAAAGAGATATTTACAACTAGTTCTTGCACTTATGACTGTCATAGGATATCCATGGTCACATATGACAATTTTGGTGGTTTGGCAACTGGCGTGTATTTATGACTCTTGCAGTGACCTGGAGTCACATGATCGCCACTTTTCCAGTCACCTTCTGACAAGGAAAGTCAGCGGGGGAAGCTGAATTTGCTTAACAACTATGTGATTCATTTAATGACCATAGTGACCCCAACAAAAAAAGATAATGAAACTGAACGCAGCTCAACAACTGCCTCGCTTGGTTACAGGAGTTCCAGTCCCAACTGTGGTCATAAATTGAGGGCTATCTCTATTGTTTGCTTCTCTCCTTTTTTAAAAAGAATTCCAAATGTTTTGAAAGCTTGGATGTTTGTACCAGAATGAATACATGGAGGTTAATGAGGTATTTAACATTGGCAATTTTTCTTCTGCTTTCAGAATTTGCTCTTCTTGGGTTCTTTTTTTCACTAGAATAATGCTGTCTAGAGTCAAAGCCATTGACTGATTATGTTCCATCAAGTCATTGTTGACCTTTCAGCCCTTAATAGCAAGATGCTTTTAGACATTTATGAATAATAACAGCCCCGTATGTTTATGTTTATGAAAAATAGCAAAGAAGCGGTAGATAAAACTAAAGATATTCGTTAATCAGACACATGACATCATGACCATTTGCTTAATGAACATTTGAAGCTACAGTGGACCCCGCTCAAAAGCTACATACATTCTGGTTTCAAAGTTCCAACATTGCCCCCCCCCCAATCAAATGATCACATTCCGGTTGCTTGGCAACTGACCCACATTTAGGGCCTTTTGCAGCACCCCACAACACATGAACAGAATTTATGATGATTTTGTTGGAAACTAGCATTTACTTCTGGTTTCCAGCATAACACTCCCAATAGGGAACAGTGGGTTTGCTTAATGACTGCTGTGAAAAAGGTGGAAAAATTAGGTCCAGTCAAGTGGTGACTCGTTTTACGACTGTCACGATTTATGACTTTAATTGCCAGGTTCAATTACTGTCATAACTCAAGGACTACCTATATAAACTTTTAATCAAAATCCTACCATTCTTTTCCCTACTACAGATGTTAGCTTGAGATCAGGATGCATCACACAATATTGGATTGCTTAAATTTAGCAGGGCGATATTTTATAGATCTCCAAAGCCACAGTTGTTTTTTCCTTTTGATTACCAGAATTAATCTGCAAACTGAAATAAGATATTCTTGCCCTGATGCATGCTTGTGGATGATGGAAGAACATGCAAGGAATGAAATTCCTAAAGTAAGGAAAACATTTTCCCTGGTAAACAAACATTTATTTTTTAAAAGGTATACATGTACTCTTTGAGTTACAACTGTATTTAAGGTCCGCAGTAAATCATTACTGTCATAAAGCAATTCATCACATGACCAGATCTGCTTTTACAATCTTTTTGTGATGGCCATTAAAGGTTAACATAATGATCGTAAAATGAAGGCTGTGATTGTTAAGTGAATGGTGCAATTAGTAAGTGAATCCATTTGTTTGCTGTGGGGAATGTTTTGCCAGAAACCGAAAGTAAACACTGGTTTTTGGCAAAAATGTTGTAAATCACAGTCATGTGACTGCAAGACACTGCAAATGCAGGCCATTACTAAGCACCCAAAATCTAGTCACGTGACCGTGGGGGGATTGGACATCAGAAGTTTGGAAATGTGTCCTAAGTAGCTTTTGGGGGTTCCGTCATAACTTGGAACAGTCATCAAGCAAAGAATCATAAGTCAAGGACTACCTCTATGAACCCAGAGAATGTCCTTATTTGTAGATTTTAAATCACGGGCAGATTCATTTAGGAGAAACAGTGTCCTGGTCCAGTGTTATTTTGAATTGTAAACGTAACCAACAACTAGAACCATATTAAAACAAAACACAAAACGAATGAACAAAACCCTCATTTTCTGTTAAAAAATTGAGAACGATGTCAGCATTTCAGCAGGTTTTGGTCAATATTCTTCCTTGCCACGTTCTGAATCAATGGAAGTCTCCTGACATTTTCAAGGTCAGCTTCATGGTAAACAATGGAGTAATATGTGCTTTGTTTGATGAATGTGCACTTCTGGCTAAGGAAATGCAGTTGTGCGCCTGAATAGTTTAGGAAAATTGTATCATTTGAATGTTATGTGTTCGTAACAGAAATCAACGGTTCTTGGCTAATTCTTTACACCAAAGGATGGCTCAATCGGATTTGATGTTGTTTGTTTTTGCAAGGCCTTTTCCTGATCTTAAGATGATCTGGACTTGATGGGTGTCCCCATTCCAGCTTCTGCCTTGTGGCAGAATGGGGAGCAGTTCTTCAGCCCTCAGAATTTGCACTGATCACCAAGGAGGCATCAACTGGATCAGCCTGAGTCCAGACGGGCAGTGGCTGTTAACAGGCAGTGAAGATGGGACAGCACGGCTCTGGAGCACTTCCAGCAACGAATGTCAAGCCCACTTTCAAGGTAGGCAAATTAGAGAATTACAGAATAACAAGAGTTGGAAGGGATCTTAGAGGTCTTCTGATCCAAAATTTGTCTTTTGGTTCCAGGATATAAATTGATTATGGACCATCTAGTCAATGTTGACCCTCAGCAACCACATAGATGGACATTCTCCAGGGTGAGCTTTCTCCGGTCTGGTCCTTCAGAACTTCCTATGGAATTTAGTCCATCCATGTTGCTGCTGACCATCCTCTTCTCTTTCTTTCCACCTTGCCCAATATTATAGATTTCGCTATATAAATCTATATAAGGAAGCTTTGCTTTTGCAGTTGGTTGATTGACTAATGAGCCATGAAATTGATGTTGACTCTTGATGATCTTCTCCAGAATGATCTGTCCCCAGCCTGGCTGTTCAGGTCTTCCAACAGTGCACCCATTGCTGTATACAGGTAGTCCTCAACTTACAACCATACATTTAGTGACTGTTCGAAGTTACAATGGAACTGAAAAAAGTGGCTTGACTATTTTTCACACTTAGGACCATTGTAACATCTCCATGGTCACATGATTAAAATTCAGGTATTTGGTAACTGGCAGGTATTTATGACAGTTGCAGTATCCCGGGGTCATGTGACCACCTTCTACGATCTTCTGACAAGCAAAGTCAATGGGGAAGCCAGATTCATTTAACAATTGTGTTACTAACTTAACAACTGCAGTGATTCACTTAACAACTGTGGCAAGAAAGGTCGCAAAATGGGTCAAAACCCATTTAAGAACTGTCCTGCTCAGCAAAAGAAATTTTGGGATCAATTGTGGTTGTAAATTGAGGACTATTTGTAATCAAGTCTATCTACCTCTGGGACATCAACTCTTCCAAATTGTCCAGATGTATGGAAAAAGATAGACATGGATATGGATAAGGAGAATCTGTTTGGTGTGGGGATTAAGATTCTGGCCTACAAACCAGAAAATTGTGAGTTCTTGTCTCACTTTAGGCATGAAAGCTAACTGGTTGACTTTGGGCCAATCACCAGGAGACTGTGAGTTCTAGTCCTGCCTTAGTCATGAAAGTCAGCTAGATGACTTTGGGCCAATCACCAGGAGACTGTGAGTTCTAATCCTGCTTTAGTCATGAAGGGCTGCTTGGTGACTTCAGGCCAATCCCTTTTTCTCAGCCCAACCCACCTCACAGGATTGTTATTGTGGGAAAAAGAGGAAGATGATGTATTATGAATGTTTGCTGCTTTTTAGTTATTTATAAAGTAATAAAGGTGGGATAAAAATCCCAACAAATAAATATGGATGCCATATAGCTGGGTCAATGGCCTCATAGAAGCATTGGACAGTGCAGTGTGGTTGCTTTAGGTTTTTGTTCATGTGCCGTTGCACTTAATCACATGCACAAGCATGCTCGTTTATCCTGCTATATCTCATGACTCTGCCCTGTGGTGATGATCTTCAGCCCAGAAGTGAGATAGTCCTTGGCTGTCCTGCTTTTAAAATAGACATTGTAGGCAGAGAGCCACATTAGGCTATGATGGCAAATAATCTGAAGCTTTTTCTGACTAAATTCCTGATGTAGAATTTAAATTGGGGTGAGGTTGCAGGGGAGGAATCTATTCTCCCAAGCAACTGAGGGCAGGACAAGAAGCAACAGGTGGAAGCTAACCAAAGAGAGAAGCAATCTAGAACTAAGGAGAAACTTCCTAACATTGAGAACAATTAACCAGTGGAACAACCTGCCTCCAGAAGCGGTGAATGCTCCAACCCTGGAAGTTTTTAAGAGGAAACTGGACAGCCATTTGTCCGAAATGGTATAGGACAGTGATGACGAACCTTTTAGAGACCGAGTGCCCAAACTGCAACCCAAAACCCACTTATGCATCATCAGGTGCCGGGTGGGTGTTGGGTGGGTGTGGCCCATTGGGTGGGCGTGGCTGCGGTGGTAACAGCAGACTGAGTGGGACTAAAAAGTTCAATCAATTCCAACTTTGCAAGGTTTTTTTTTCCCCGCGAGAAGTTGAAATTGACTGATTGATTGAATCTTTTTTTTTTTTGCACGCGGTGGCAGAGGCCTAAAGTGAAAAGGTTTTATAAAACTCAGCTGAAGGCCTAGGACTGGGGCGATGGTGCGCGTGCCCACAGAGAGGGCTCTGATTGCCGCCTCTGGCACCTGTGCCATAGGTTCACCACCACTGGTATAGGGTTTCCTGCCTGAGTGGGGGGTTGGACTAGATGACCTCCAAGGTCCCTTCCAACTTTATTATTATTATTATTATTATTATTATTATTATTATTATTGTTGTTGTTGTTGTTGTTGTTGTTGTTGTTGTTGTTGTTGTTTTGTTGTTGTTGTTGTTGTTGTTGTTGTTTTGTTGTTGTTGTTGTTGTTATTATTATCATTATTATTAATAATAATTAATTATTATTATTGTCCCACCCCAATTTTTCCCTCTATAATTAGTGTTTCTCAACCTTGGGCACTTTAAGATAGGAGGACTTCAACTCCCAGAATTCCATAGCTGGGATGGCTGGCTGGGTAATTCTGGGAGTTGAAGTTCACCCCTCTTAAAATGGCCAAGGTTAAGAAACACTGTATTCACTGGAAATCCTCTATAATTTTTAAAAATGTAAAGACATTTTATAGTGCTCGATTGTTTTCCTGCAGATGTTTCATTACTGCGTTTATAAGCGTGTTGCAAAACCCCAACAGTTCAGCCCTAAATACATTACCCACCATTGAAACCATAGCCATAGGATTGATCTGTCTGTATGTTTATTCATTCGTTCCAGGTCATGAAAGCTACATCACATTTTGTCACTTAGAAAACGAAGTTGCTTTCACCTGCAGTGCAGATCACACTATCAGAAAATGGGATGTGATGACCGGAAGATGCCTTGCTATTTATCGTGGACACACATCCATCGTGAATAGGTACGTATTAGGGTGATTATTTTATGTTACCTAGACTTGCTCTCTCTCTCTCTCCCCTCCAGTCTCTACATCATAAGAGCTGAAGGAGTAATGGCTGCATCAGGGCCAGCACCTGCCTAATTTCTACCCCTCATCAGTGGTTTTCCGGACGTTCACCCAAAGAGATGTGTAAAACATTTTGAATTCAGCGCATATTAGATTTGAAACATTCCCATTTGGTGGTTCAGTTCTGAAAATGAAAGAAACAGTTTCAAACTTCCTTGCTGGGCTCAGAATACTCCTAAAACGATTGAAGTACCCCATTTTGTACCCCAGAAAGGGGTACAAGTAGTACAGGTAGTCCTCAACTTATGACTATTCGTTCAGTGGACATTTGACGATGCTGAACAAAGGATCTTATGACTTATAACCAAAGTTACAGCTGCTGCAGCACCACTATAGTGACGTGAAGAAAATCCAGGCACTTGGCAAACCCCCCAACCCTTATAACCGACCACAAGAGAGCTCCATCACCCCCCTGCCTGCCTTCCCCCTATCCCACCCTGCTGTGTCCTGCAGACCTTGGACCTCCTTCCTGTCCCACTGGGTCTCACTCCCTCCTCCCTCCTGTGACTTCACTTTTCCATAGATCTCCTTCTGGCAGCACCAATTCACCACATGGCCTTTCTTTGTGGAGGCCACGTGGTGCTGTCCCGGAAGCGGGCACCATTTTGGGAGAGGCTGCAATTCTCATCATCTGAAAATTACACTTGTTCCCCAAATAGTGCCAACTTCCAGGATGACACTGTGTGACCTCTGCATTATAGGTCAGTGGTGGTGAACCTATGGCACGGGTGCCAGAGGCGGCACTCAGAGCCCTCTCTGTAAGCATGCGTGCCATCACCCCAGTCCTAGACCTTCAGCTGGGTTTTATAAAACTTTTTTGCTTTAGGGCTCTGTCGCCGTGTGCAAAAAAAAAAAAAAGGTTTAATCAGTCAATTTCAACTTTTTGTGGGGAAAAAAAAGATCTTGCAAAGTTGGAATTGATTGATTGAACTTTTTAGTCCCACCCAGTCTGCTGTTACCACTGCAGCCACACCCAGCCAGTGGGCCACACCCAGCCAATGGGCCACACCCATCCGGCACTCGACAATGCGTAAGTGGATTTTGGGTTGCAGTTTGGGCACTCGGTCTCTAAAAGGTTCGCCATCACTGTTATAGGTAATCCTCGATTTACAACCATTCATTTAGTGACCGTTTGAAATTACCATGGCACTGAAAAAGGTGACTTATCATCGTTTCTCACACTTACAACTGTTGCAGTATTGCCATGGTCATGGGATCAAAATTCAGGCACGTGGCAACTGGCGTGTATTTATGACAGTTGCATTGTCCCGGGGGGGGGGTCATGCGATCGCCATTTGCAACCCTCTGACAAAGTCAGTGGGGAAAGCCACTGTGGTCGCTTAATGACCACATGATTCATTTAACAGCTGCAGAAATTCACTTAATAATCATGGCAAAAAGGTTGTAAAATGGGGGGATGACTCACTTAACAACTGCCCTGCTTAGCAATGGAAATGTTGGGCTCAATTGTGGCCATAATTTGAGGACTACCTGTATATAGGAAAGCCTCAGGGTGGATTATCTGTTTCTCCTTCCTTTGCTTCCGTGTTTTGGAAAGGCATTGGGGAACAAGCAGATGGCGCAGATAATAATCAACACATTTAACCTCAATGAATTTGCTTTGAAATATCAAATGATCTAATAGATTCCCAAAGGATTGTACAGATATCAGTTTACAAGAGGCCTCACTGTTGGTAATTTTGAGAATTTGAGATAGGCATATTTTGTTCAATTAGAATAACAGAATAACAGCATTGAAAGGGAACCTTGGAGGTCTTCTAGTCCAACCCCCTGCTCAAACAGGAAAGCCTATACTATTCCAGACAAATGGTTGTCCAATCTCTTCTTAAAAACTTCCAATGATGGAGCACCCACAACTTCTGGAAGCAGGTTGTTCCGCTGATTAATTGTTCTCACTGTCAGGAAATTCCTCCTTAGTTCTAGGTTGCTGCTCTCCTTGATTAGTTTTCACCCGTTGCTTCTTGTCCTGCCTTCAGGTCCTTTGGAGAATAAGTCAATCCCCTCTTCTTTGTGGCAACCCCTGAGATATTGGAAGACTGCCATCATGTCACCCCCTAGTCCTTCTTTTCATTAAACTAAACATACCCTATTCCAGCAGCCCAATTTCAAAAAATAATTTTGGAAATACAAAAGAGCTATATTTCTGTGGAGGAATTATTAATTATACATCCCACAGTTTATCGCAAAGCCAGAGAGGAAAAAACATACATGCCTAAATCTGCTTAGCCTAAACATGCTTCCTTGAATAGTCATCCATAGGAATCCACTGTGATCAGATTCTACAGAAGGTTGAACAAAAAGCCTGCAGTCATTGGCTGTGGGATTCTTGGCAATGGGCAAGGCGGAAATTTATAGTACAGAGAGTCCTCGATTTGCAGCCATTTGTTTAGCAACCATTCAAAGTTACAACACTGAAAAAGTGACCCATCACGAGTACTCGCACCGACAACTATCACAGCATCCCCAGAGTCACATGATCAAAATTTGGGTGCTTGGCATTTATTTATGATGGTTACAGCACCCCGGGATCATTTGATCATCATTTACAAACTCTTCAGGCAGCTTCCAGCGAACAAACTCAGTAGTGGAAGCTGGGCTGGTTTAACAACCATGTGATTAACTTAACCACCGTGGCAAAAACGCTCATAGAATTGGGTGCAATTCATTTAACAACTGACTTGCTTAGCAATAAAAATTCTGGTCCCAGCTGTGATCGTAAGTCGAGGGGTGACTAAAGTGGAAAAGCTTAATCTTCAAAATGAGCTTTCTACACAAAATGGAACGTATGGCTCCAATGCTACTTTGTTAAGCCAAGATGAGAAGGTTAGTCAGTGACTGTTTTCTCCCAACAGGATCCTAGTTTTCAAGGATTACCTCTTCAGTGGATCCTACGACAGGACTGCACGCTGCTGGAGTGTGGATAAGGAAAAACCGATCCAGGAGTTTAGGGGCCATCGCAACTGCGTTCTGGCCCTGGCGCTCTACTCTTCGAAGGATGTCCTTGAAGAGGAAGAGGTGGAGGAGAGGATAGAAGAGGTGGAAGAGCTAAGCCAAGACTTCCTGGTGACGGGGAGCACGGACTGCACTGTCAAGGTCTGGTGGGTGTCCACTGGGCGTTGCCACCAGACCCTGCTGGGACACACTGGGGCAGTCCTATGCCTTATACTTGACGCTCCAAACAGGGAGCTCTTTTCGGGAAGCACTGATTATACCATTCGGACTTGGAACATTGTGACAGGGGAACAGCTGAGGGTCTTCAAAGAGCATCAAGGATCCATCATTTGCCTAGAGGTAAGAGAGATTGCATTTCTTCCAAAGGTGGTATTGAGGTCTGCAGCATTTGTGCAACTGGTATTTTTGGGGAGGAAAAAATACAGGAGAGAGGACGCGGATTTGAAGAAGGATCAACAGAAGAGCTGGGCGTACAGAGTTGGAAAAGGACCCTCAACAAAACAGCATCATCCTAGCACATCTATCTATCTATCTCTGTCTGTCTGTCTGTCTGTCAATCTGTTTCTATCTCTATTATCTGTCTATCATCTATCTATTATCTATCCTATCATCTATCCTATCCTATCCTATCCTATCTCTCTCCATCCCTCCATCCATCCCTCCATCCCTCCATCCATCCCTCCATCCCTCCATCCCTCCATCCCTCCCTCCCTCCCTCCCTCCATCCATCCATCCATCCATCCATCCATCCATCCATCCATCCATCCATCCATCTATCTATCTATCTNATCTGTCTATCTGTCTGTCTGTCTGTCTGTCTGTCTGTCTATCTGTCTGTCTGTCTGTCTGTCTGTCGTCCGTCCGTCCGTCCGTCCGTCCGTCCGTCCGTCCGTCCGTCCGTCCGTCCGTCCGTCTGTCTATCTATCTATCTATCTATCTATCTATCTATCTATCTATCTATCTATCTATCTATCTATCTATCTATCTATCTATCTATCTATCTATCTCCCCCCTCCTCTCTCTCGCTGACTCTCATCTATCTATCTGATTTATTAGATTCATTTCTCTTTTCAAAGCAATTCTGGGTGACTTATAGTATCAAAAGCATTAAAGCCATGAAAGATAAGCACTTCTAAAACAATAAAAATATAAAATATTCTTGATACAAGAAAATAGTTGTAAGCCATAAGATCTCTGAGCTGAGTGGATTCACAACCCAGCATATCCGCTGGTGGGTAGGAGAAAATTAATTGGCTGCCGTAATCCATAAGGTGGGTTTTGGATGACCACATTGGAAAACCTCAGCTATTGTGGTTTCTGAACCCCATGGTTTATGACTGTAATCTATGGACCCAAATACTGTGGTATATTCAAGAAACCATGGTTTAAGAAAACCATGCTATAGAAAGATGTTTGAAACTATCCTGTATGAGGAAGTAGTGGAGGAGATGGATATTCATGAGTAGCAAAACGTGGAGAATTTCTGGGGAGTAGATGTAAGAGCAACAGATGTTAGTGTGTTCTTTTGTTTCTTTGTATTGTTTCTATTATTTCCTGGTTGAACAAGAATATCTGCACTGAAGCCAAATCATGGATTCCATGGAAAATGTTTAATATTTGTCTAGGGTAATTAAGGAATAGTAATGCTTTGGTACAAGTAGTTTTCAACTTACAATCCCAACTGGGGTCACAATTTCCATTGTTAAGCAAGGTAATCATTAAGTGATTAATGGTCATTAAAGAAATTCAGGTTCCTCCATTGGCTTTGCTTATCGGAAGCCAGCTAGGAAGTTGCAAATGGAAATCAGATAACCCCAGGACTCTGCAACCATCATAAATCCATGCCAATTATCAAGAGCCCAAATTTTGATCATGTGACCAGAGGGGTGCAGTAACTGTCACAAGTGTGAGAATCGGTCTTTAGTTACTTTTTTTCATTTAAATTTTGAATGATCACTAAACAAATGGTTGTAAGTTCAGGAAAGAAAAATAGCTGGCTGGATCACTGTCCATAGAACTATGGATAGATTTTGGGAGAAAAACCCGTGAATTTGATAAGAGTGATTATTTACAGCAATTGACTACTCCAAAATACAGATAATTGTTTTCTGCTGGTGGGGTGTGAAGGAAGCATGTGGTTAGAAGATAGACTGCTATATAAATATTTTGAATAAATAAAAAATTAAATAAAAATGAATTATCCTGAAAATCTGCAGAGTTCTATGTTTCTTTGATGTACCTGCAAAATATTAGTGTCTTTTTCCTGGACTATTTTGATCTTTTATCAAGACTTGGAACAGGCTGTCAGTCCAATTGTTCTTGTTTTCTATCTGTGTCGTGCTCCAACAGAGCAAATAAAATCTTTTTTAAACCCAATTGAGGAGGCCAACTAAATCATCTTCAGATTATTAGTTGGAATTGTGTCTCCCTGGCCGTGCTTTAGAATAGCCATTGTTAAAACTGAATATATAGGTACTCCTTGACTTATGATCACAATTGAACCCAAAATTTATATTGCTAAGTGAGACACTTGTTAGCTGAGTTTTGCCCCACTTTATGCCCCATCTTCTTGTGACAGTTGTTAAGTGAATCACTGCAGTTGTTAGTAACATGATTGTTAAGTGAATCTGGCTTCCCCATTGACTTTGCTTGTCAGAAGGTGACAAAAGGTGATTATATGTCCTCAGGATACACTGCAACGGTCATAAATATGAGTCAGTTGATTTTGATCATGTGACCACGGGGATGCTGCAACGGTTGTAAGTGTGAAAAATGATCATAAGTCACATTTCTCAGTGCGGTTATAACTTCGAATTGTCATTAAAACAACTGTTGTAAGTTGAGGACTGTTTATTGTTAGAAAGATCCTTTTTCTGACTACCACTTTTCCTGTCCCATCCAAATCTTAGAAAATTAATCCTTGCTTTTATTGATGAAAGGCACATCTGTCTTTTTAATGAAAAAGAAAAAAAATAGTGTGTGTTTTTTCTTGATTGACCACTTTATTTTATTTTGACATAAACCCAGCAAAGAACTTGCATAGGTTTTCTTATAATATACTTGGTATGTGTCTGGTGATATAGGATACTTTGAGCCTGAGGCTCTGTTGTTTTTCCATTCCATTAGCCAAATGAATGTTATGGGAGATTACATGAACATTTTTTTAAAATTCAAAATAATGGATCACTTTTAGAAGCATTCATTCCTTCAAGAGATTTTTGAGAATGGAGTGATGGATTTGCAACACACGGAAGCTTTGTGAACGAGAATATTAATCAAGTATTTACCCAGGCAAGCTTTCTGTAGAGCAGTGCTTTTCAATCTTGGCATCTTTAAGAAGTATGAATTGCAACTCTCAGAATTCCTCAACCAGCATTTTTATTGGGGAATTCTTGGAGTTGAAGTCCACATGTTTTAAAGCTACCAAAATCTAACCACTGCGCCACCAGGGGTCTTGCATCTTCACATTTGCACCGTTCAGTAATGACAGGCAATTGTAATGATGACAATAGTAATAATAATAATAATCAATAGGCATTCAGTGGGGCACAGGTACAGTATAGGTCAGTGGTGGCGAACCTATGGCATGCGTGCCAGAGGTGGCACTCGGAGCCCTCTCTGTGGGCACACGTGCCGTTGCCCCAGCCTCACCTCCCCCATGACCCCCTCCTCACCAGTAGCCCCTCTGGAGGAGAGTCACCCCCGAGTGTGGCCCACACGGAGCAGCGCAACCAAGGACATGGCAGCCAGGCAGCGTAGACAAGACTCTGCCCTCATGCCCCATCCCGCACAGTTTATGCTGCGGGGCACAGGCAGAGGGCGTGGCCACCACGGCACTGCTGGGTTGCCTGGGCGATCTGCGGTGGGCCATGGAGGCGGTGAGAGGCCCTGTGGACAGGTGGGGTGGGGGATGGGGTGAGGGCGGAGCAGGGGCGGAGCGGGGGATGGAGCAGGGGCGGGGCCAGTTTTGGGGCACTCGGTCTCTAAAAGGTTTGCCATCACTGGTATAGGGGGTACCTTGCTCAATAGTAGTAACTGTGAGAGGGATCTCGGAGTCCTAGTGGACCATCACTTAAGTATGAGCCAGCAGTGTACTGCAGCTTCCAAAAAAGACAACACAGTTCTAGGCTGCATTAACAGAGGGAAAGAATCAAATAGTAATAGTAATATCACTTTATAATGGCTTGGTAAGGCCACACTTGGAATACTGCATCCAGTTTTGGTCACCGCCATGTAAAAAAGATGCTGAGACTCTAGAAAGAGTGCAGAGAAGAGCAACAAAGATGATTAGGCGACTGGAGGCCAAAGCATATAAGGAACGGTTGCTGGAATTGGGTATGTCTAGTTTAAGGAAGAGAAGGACGAGGGGGGACATGATAGCAGTGTTCCAATATCTCAGGGGCTGCCACAAAGAAGAGGGAGTCAAGCTATTCTCCAAAGCACCTGAAGGCAGGACAAGAAGCAACGGATGGAAACTAACCAAGGAGAGAAGCAACCTAGAACTAAGGAGAAACTTCCTGGCAGTTAAAACAATTAATCGGCGGAACAACCTGCCTCCAGAAGTGGTGAATGGTTCATCACTTTTAAGAAGAGATTGAATAACCACCTGTCTGAAATGGTATAGGGTTTCCTGCCTGAGTAGGGGGTTGAACTAGAAGACCTCTAAGGTCCCTTCCAACTCTGTTATTCTATTCCATTTGAAAATGTTCCAAGCAATATACATGAATTGGTATAGATAACTGACTGGGAGAATCTAAAAAAAATAATTGAATTTGCTTTATCCCAGTTTTTCTTAACATCCGAATAAAGTTTCCTCTTTTTGATGGCACATAATGCAGAGTGCCTGCTGAAGTTAAGCAGTGTGGTTTGAATTTAATGATAGAAAGAAGGACTGTGCACATATTACTGAATTCATAGCTCACATGGATTGTGGACTGAAAAACTTTTCAGATGATGTCTATTGTCCCCACATAACTGTACACTGTAAATTTAATCAAATGCAATTAATACAAATATTATTTGGACCAATAAATCCGTGGGTCCTACGAAGTACTGCTTCACTAGCTTTAAAGACTAGCTTCATCTTCCACAAGAAGTGAGTAAACATCTCTTCCTACCTAATTTTTGACCTCTTTTGAAGGCCACTAGGACTTGGTTCCACGCAGGATGTTATTTCAAAAGGTCTACATTACACCTTCAACATTGATGTTACTGTTTGTACCTCCTTCAGTTATGAAGAGAAAAGCCAGATTGAAGGGTAACTGTGACTTCCAGTGATCTTTCTTCATTAACTTTCTGTTCTTTCTTTCTCTGTCTCTCAGCTTGTGAATCGATGCTTGTATTCAGGCAGCACGGACAAAACAGTAAAGTGCTGGCTGGCTGACACTGGAGAGAGGATACGGACCTATAAGGCTCATAAACACAGTGTCAGTGCTTTGAAATATCACGCTGGAATATGTAAGTTCCAACCAACTCCATCATAAGTTTGTTTGGTTAAGTGTTGGGTTTATATTTTGACAGGCACATCCTCATCTTATTCTCACCATAACAATCTTCTGAAATAGATTATGCTGAGAGAGAAGGGCCATATTTTAGTCTCCCCCAGGCTGAAAAGCCAGATTGGTGTAGTGGTTAAGGTGCTGGCCTCACAGGGGGCTGTGAGTTGTAGTCCTGGCCCAGTCATGAAAGCCGGCTGAGTGGCTGTGGGCCAATGACCAGGAGATGGTAAATTCTAGTCCCGCCTTAGGCATGTAAGCCAGACAAGTGACTTTGGGCCAATCAATCCCTCTCTCTCATCTCAACCTACCTCACAGGATTGTTGTTGTACAGAAAAAGAGGAGGAGGAGGATGGAATATTATGAATGTTCATTGTCTTGAGTTACTTATAAGGTAATAACAGCAGGATAAAAACAATCTAATTATAATCTAGTTCAGTATCTTCATATCTTCACCATCACACCGCACTGTTTCTGTAGGAAATGGCAGCAGCAGGAGCTTAAAAAAATGTCTTTTATTGTTAAGAGCTGTGGTGGTTAGAATTAAGGTGACCAACCATCCTCCTTTAGGGAGGACAGTCCTCCTTTTGTAAGTTCTGTCCTCTCTCAAAAAGTGTCCCCCTATATGTCCTCCTTTTCGATATTTGAAGACTAATCTGTAAATCTCCGTATTCGATTGATGCCGATCCGATCCGTTGCGTGTGATGTGATGTACCGTATTTGTATTTGACATGACGATTCGTCAAGGCTCGGTACAGTGCGGTGAGACGCAATTATGAGACGCATGCGCTCCACACAGGAGAATTGTTTTGAGAGAGTGCGCCACGTGCAAGAATGCGCTGCACACAAGTGGCTTTGTTTACTTCTTACCGAAACATGACACGAAATAAGACGCACGCATTAGACTCCCTTTTTTTTCTTCAATTTATTTGTGTCCTCCTTCTCATTGTAAAAAAGTTGGTCACCTTATTATAATGCAGTATTGTGGGCAAACTCTGCCCGCAGCCAGTTTGATTCTGATTTGCTTAAGGTTGACTCAGCCTTCTGTCCTTCAGAGGTAAGTAAAATGAGGACCTAGATTGCTGGGGGCAATATGCTGACAAGCGGCATATAAGTCTAAGTGCTATTGCTGTTGTTATTGTTATAGACATCATAACAGAATGTTGAAAACCTGTCAGAGTTTCTCTTTACTACATCTTATGCCAAGCAAACTCAAGGCAGGACTATTTTGAGTTTCTTTCTGGTACCTTGAGATTCTAAGCAGTCTTTTCCGAATCTTCTCCTATCCTAATGGTTTGTATTCCAGGGCCAGGATTATCTTTCATCACACCTAGCGAGTTTCCATTGCTGAACAGGTTGTCAGCTTTTTCAGGTATATGAGGAAAGAGACTCCACAAGTCTAGCTAAAACTACACTGTATGGATGTAGGTGATAGTAGGCGAATCTTGAAAACCTACCTGAGTTTTCTTGCCTTCCTTCTAATACTCTATTGCAGGGTTTCTCAACCTTGGCAATTTGAAGATGTATGGACTTCAGCTCCCAGAATTCCCCAGCCAGTTGAAATCTTCAAGCTGCCATGTTGAGAGACACTGCTCTAGTGAAACAGGGAGTAGGAAGTCTTAAGAAGAAGAAGAAGAAGAAGAAGAAGAAGAAGAAGAAGAAGAAGAAGAAGAAGAAGAAGAAGAAGAAGAAGAAGAAGAAGAAGAAGAAGAAGAAGAAGAAGAAGAAGAAGAAGAAGAAGAAGAAGAAGAAGAAGAAGAAGAAGAAGAAGAGGAAGAGGAAGAGGAAGAGGAAGATCTCCTCCTCCTCCTCCTCCTCCTCCTCCTCCTCCTCCTCCTCCTCCTCCTCCTCCTTTCTGTCCTGGCTTTAAAGCATGCTTCTGTTGTTATCTCCTTGGCTTTCGAGAGGAGGAAATATAATCCAGATCTCCCATTCTTTGTCCAGTATCTTCTCCACTACATCACACTGGCTCATGGGCTTGAGAGAAGGACTAGTCCATAGTCATAGAACTTCTATAATAGTTTGTGGGGATTAAACCTGGATTTCTCCACCCAGATCCCATATCTTCACCATCACACCATATTGAAAGTTCATCCTTAGTTCTGATTTTTTTAAAGACCTACCACTATCTCAAAGCTTGGTTAGCTACATCCCATCCTTCCTTGTGGAAAGTGAAAGCAGCCCATGGATAAATATTCAGAAGAAAGCAGGATGCAGTCACTCTCTCCCTTTCTTGAACAGCAGACCAAGTTTTGTTCATTTAAAAAAATAAATGGTTCCAGATGGTACAAAATCATCCCAGCAGTTGGCAAAGCTGGTCTGATTTCTTGCTTTCTCAGTGAGAAGAGGAAAAGGACTTTGTATGTCTTTTTCTGTAACCAATTTCATATCCTTTCAGGCTGTGTTGACACTAGCAACCCATTTGTATTGTGGATTTGAAGCCTTACTACAGTCCATCTAACTTGGTTGATATTTGGCCTGTTCTGCATTCTCCCTGTGGTCAGCGGATGTATTTGAAAGTGTTGAGATGATGTTTGAGGAGTGTCTAGGAAACTCTACTGCAGGGGTGTTCAACCTTGGCAACTTTAAGATTTGTGAACTTCACTTCCAGAATTCAAATATGCTGGCTGGGGAATTCTGAAAGTTAAAATCCACAAGTCATAAAGTTGCCAGGGTTGGACACCACTGCTCCACTAGATTCTCAAGTATCTGGCTTGCTTTAATTATTCTTTTTAACTACATGTATAGGGGCATAAGGTAGAGTTAGATGTCATCTGCAAATATTTGTAAATAGAGTTTTTAAGTGGGAAAATAGAGATCTTCCTCATGAGTAAGTTACTTGTAGCTTACTTTTGATGATGGCTTTCAGCGTACTTCTCACCTCTGTCCTCTTATTTTTTTTATACAGAATAGAATACAGAATACAAAAATAACACTTTGGGAAGGGAACTTTAAGGTCTTCTAATCCAACCCTCTGCTCGAGTAGGACATTTCAGACAAATAACTATCCAATATTTTCTTTAAAACCTCCAGCTATGGAACACTCAAAACTTCTGGAGGCAAGCCATTCCACTGATTAATTGTTCCCACTGTCAGGAAATTTCTCCTTAATTCCAGGTTGCATCTCTGTTTGACCAGTTTCCATCTGTACTGCTCTTCTTAATTGGTTTCACCCATTGCTTCTTTCCCTATCTTCAAGTGCTTTGGAGAATAATAACCCCCTTTTCTTTATGGCAGCCCCTCAAATATTGGAAGACTGCTATCATGACACCCCAATCCTTCTTTTTGTTAGACTACATATACTTGGTTCCTGCCTCTAAATAATTTGCAGAATGCATTTCAACCATTATGCATTTCAACCATTAAGAAGAGATTGGACAACCATTTGTCTAAAATGATGTAGGGCAGTGGTGGCGAACCTATGGCACGGGTGCCAGAAGTGGCACTCAGCGCCCTCTCTGTGGGCACATGCATCGTTGCCCCAGTCCTAGGCCTTCAGCTGGGTTTTATAAAACCTTTTCACTTTAGGCCTCTGTCTCGCGGGGAAAAAAAAGATCTCGCAAAGTTGGAATTGATTGATTGAACTTTTTAGTCCCACCCAGTCTACTGTTACCACCGCAGCCATGCCCACCCAATGGGCCACACCCACCCGGCACTCGACGATGCATAAGTGGGTTTGAGGTTGCAGTTTGGGCACTCGGTCTCTAAAAGGTTCGCCATCACTGGTGTAGGGCAAGGGTCCCCAACCCCTGGGCTGTGGCCCGGCATCAGGCTATGGCCTATCGGGAAATGGACCGTGCAAGTGGCAGGCAAGTGGGTGAAACTCCATTTGCACAAGCAGAAGGCATGCACACTCCTGCACATGCTTGCTGCTTGTGTGGAACCATCCCCTCTCCATTGCTGCTGGCTTCGCCACTGGTCCACAAAGTCAGAAAGGTTGGGGACCGCTGGCATAGGGTCTCCTGCCTGAGCAGGGAGGTGGACTAGAAGACTTCCATGGCCCCTTCCAACTCTGTTATTCTGTTAATTAGCCCTATCAGATCTTTCTGGTGGTGAACATCATCGCACTAACAAGATCAAAATTTGCCATTTGGGGAATATCGATTCCCTACTACACCTTCTCCAGGAAGTGCCTGTCAAAATATTGCTACCCGTCTCCCTCTTTCTCATTGGCCAGTTTTTTCAACTGCAATTTCTGTGCAGTTATTTTGATGGTCCTGGGAGAAACAGTTGGACAGATTTGCTGTTTTCACAACATGCCTCAGTGAAATCAGTCAAACCCAGCATTTTTCACCCTTAGCAAATTTTAAGATATATGGACTTCAGCTGGCTGATGAATTCTGAGAGTTGAAGTCCACATATCTTGAAATCACCCTGTTCAGAGAACAGTGGTTTAACCCTATAGAACAGGGGTCCTCAACCCCAATCCGTGGACCAGCATCAGTCCACAGCATGTCAGCAACCGGTCCGCACAAACAAGCGAAGCCCCCATTTGCGGGGTGCAGGAGCACACGAAACCACGCCCCCTCCGGTCCATGGAAAAACCTCTCTCCATGGAATTGGTCCCTGGTGCCAATATTGGATCATTTGGGGGATAAAGTTAGCCTGATGGACAATTACCTCCTTTAAGATTCTTACAACACACCAATTTCTCATTAACCAGGTTCAATATGATGTGGAACTAAGGCCAAAAAAATGACAAGGATTCAGTTCCTGTCAAATTGCAAGAATTCAAAAACTTGCAATTTGGAGCTTCTTAGATCTACTTCAAAGGATTCAAAAATCATGCTTGGAGAGCCAGTATTTATGAGAATGCATAGTCTGTGCTTTTATTTCATTGATTTAAAACATTTATATAACTACCCATTTTATATAATTAACTCTAGGGCAGTGGTGGAGAACCTATGGCACGGGTGCCAGAGGTGGCACTCAGAGCCCTCTCTGTGGGCACGCGCACCGTCACCCCAGTCCTAGGCCTTCAGCTGGGTTTTATAAAACCTTTTCGCTTTAGGCCTCTGCCGCCGTGTACAAAAAAAAAAGGTTCAATCAGTCAATTTCAACTTCTCGTGGGAAAAAAAGATCTTGCAAAGTTAGGATTGATTGAACTTTTTAGTCCCACCCAGTCTGCCGTTACCACAGCAGCCACGCCTACCCAATGGGCCACGCACACCCAATTGGCCACGCCCACTTGGCACTCGACGATGCATAAGTGGGTTTTGGGTTGCAGTTTGGTCACTCGGTCTCTAAAAGGTGCCCAACAAAGTCAAAGATTTACCTGCATACATGCATACATGCAGTTACAGATAGTCCTCAACTTACAGCCACAATTGGAACCAGAATGTCTGTTGCTAAGCAAGTAGTTGTTATGAATCATGCAGTCATTAAGTGAAGCTGGCTTCCCGTATTGACTTTATCTGTCGGAAGCCAGCTGGGAAGGTCACATGACCCCTGGATGCTGCAGTCGTCAAAGATACATACTAATTGCCATCGGGGATGGTGTGACCGTCTTAAGTATGAGGACCAGTTGTAAATCACTTTTTGCAGTGCCCCTGTGACTTCAGATAATCATTAAATGAATGATTGTAATTCCAGAACCACATGCATAATGATGATGAAGTACATCTTAAAAAGAAATCTTTAGCCATCTCCGTGGTGAAAGAAATAAAACATGCGCCAAACTTGGAGTGGCTTTGTTACAGCAATGTATAAATGGCCTTGCAGGCATTCAGAAAGGATGACTCAGTTACCCCACCCAGATTAGAAGATGGAAATAAATTCAAGGTTTATTGATATCAGTGTTGGAACAGTGTGGTAGCAGTAAAATTTGTTTCCAATCTTGTAAGTTTTAAAGTTGTTTTTTGGCTTTAGGGGTGCCTGGCCTGTAATTATAACAGCTGGTCTGTTGGAATTGACAAACAAACCTGGACTAATTTTCAATAGTAGGATAACTTTCAGATGGAATTGGGGGAGGGAGCGAAGCTATCACATTCCATGCAAAAATGCCTTCTTTTGAAAGACATTATGCTGGAAAATGAGTTGTTCTATTGTTTAAAACAATTAACTTTGTAATCAGGAAATACCAGACTTAATTGGCGAATATGATTCATTACGATACATGGGATTGCTCTAAGGATCCATAAATTATCTCTAAGTGGTAGAAAAGGGAACTAACCAAATAGATGCAATCTTTATTTTTATTTTTGGATCTATTTTACAGCTTGTTTCCTAAATTATAACTCTCACGGTAGAAAGACATTGAGAGAAGGGATAGGGAAATAAATGCTGCCTAGGGAATGATCAGAAGGCATAGCCCACAGCTCCATAATGGCAGAGAAAGAGACTCAGAAAGAACTATTCTTAACTTTTCAGGCTGTAAAAGAGAGGGCGCGAGATTTGTACTTTCAGACTTGCAAGATTCTGCCCGTGTAGCCTTACATTAGGATTAACTCAGCTGGTTGTTTTTCCTGTCAGGCCTACCTGGTAAGGCTGACAATTTGCCTGCCTATATTATTTTGGGAATGGGGAGGAGTTATTTGGACACTTTAATGTTAAGAAATAAAATTTTGATTAGTGCAGGGCATAAATATTTGACAGAGGTATGTTCTTTATTATTAAAAAGTCCTTTAACTGTTAATTCCTCATCAATAAACAGCAAAAATTAAACTGCATAATTCACCTGGTAAAATAGCCCACCTGATATTGCTAATGAGGTTCTATTACTGTAATAAAACATTTCAACGATAACTTGATTTGTGTGTCGTTTGCTTGCTGCACAGTAGCAGATAAAAAAGCGCTCCAGAGGGTCATTACCATCTCCCCCCCGGACGAACTGTACAGTTCCCTTTGTCTTAGGAAAGCTCAAAATATTCTTAAAGACTTGTCTCATCCCGGACATTCTTTTTTTGAACTATTACCATCTGGCAGACGGTACAGGATAATAAAAACAAAGACAACTAGGCTAAAAATAGTTTTTATCCCAGAGCTGTAACCATATTAAATACCACAATATAGTGCAACATTGACGTGCAATATTAGGGGCAGTGCAATGATGAATAGAATGTGAAGGATGTGTGTATATTAATGTATGTTCTTATTTGTGGTTTTTACTTGTATGTAGTGTGCACTGTGGACAGCACTTAATTTCGTTGTGAGTTCCACAATGACAATAAAGATACTCTATTCTACTAATGTTCCTAATAGATTGCAATTGATTGCAATAGCTTGATATTCCAAATGGATATTCAGTTAAATTAGCTTCACTGAATGAATGCTTTGGTTTGTTATTAATGTTAAGTGCAACAGAACATTTGCCTTGAAGTCAAAATGCAGATTTGCTCTGCCCCCATCCATCAATGTATTTATATTCTATTGTTGCCTGTGGCAAAAAGTACTAATTCCTGTTTTCTTCTTATTAAAGTGTTTCTATATAATGGATTTATTAGACATTTAACACCATCATTATTGGACTTTTCATGTTAGCAATAAAATAAAAAACACACTTTAAATACTAATTCCAGCATAAATCTGATATGGTTAATTAGTTTTGCATATCACATTGACTTACTGTAATTACAATTAATAACCTCTTGATTATAGTTTCAGTTCATAGTACAGTATGGTAAATCAGTATAACTAAGCATGGTTATCTGAAAAAACAAGCACATTTCCAATACAGGTAGTCCTCGACCTACAAGCAGTTGCTTAGCAACCATTCAAATTACAACGGACCCTGAAAAAGCTACTTTTGACCCACATTCGACATTGGCCCCCTCCCCATTTGCTTAATGACTACTACAAAAAGGTGGTAAAATCAGGCACCATCACATGATTACCTTCTTTACAACTGTCACATCGTATGAGTAAAATTACAGGTTGAGGACAACTTGTAGGTACTACAACTTCCAGGAGTAAAAATATAGTCAGCCAAGTATAAGCTTTCTAAAGGATGAAAATCAACTAAAATGAACGCAGAACTCATTCCTAAAAAAAATGGATTTAGAATTCTCTTCTCCTGAATTTCATTGATACATAGAGGATTACTTCAACAGCAAAAGAATTCTATATATTCTATATATATATTCTGATATATATTGTTTATAGGGAGTTATATTTTGCCCTATTCACCATATAGATTTGAGTTTAGGTAATGCAAAAGACTTAATATTTCATCCATTTTGTTCTCTACTTTTTATTTGACCAGCTCATTTGCTTCTTATTTTGATTTGCCCTTAATCTTAATCTTTGGTGAAGTTATACATTATATTTACAACATTATTACCCTTATTAATTTTCCATTTTATTTTAGTAGGCTGATAGCGATGACAATAGCAATAGCACTTACACTTATATACTGCTTCATAATCCTTTACAGCCCCCTCTAAGCGGTTTACAGAGTCAGCATATGGCCCCCAACAATCTGGGTTTTCATTTTACCCACCTTGGAAGGATGGAACCTTCAGCCGGTCAGGATCGAACTGCTGGCAGTTGGCAGAGTTAGCCTGCAAGACTGCATTCTAACCACTGCATCACCACAGCTATTCTCTGATCCTTTGGGACTGTAATGTAGTGGGATACAAATATTCTATCTAAGAAATGCATAATGTAAAATAATCTGAATAAGCCTCCCATCCTTATTTTTTTCTCATCAGTGTTTACTGGAAGTGGTGATGCTTGCGCTCGAGCGTTTAACACAAAGACCGGCATTCTGCAAAGAGTGTTTCGTGGTCATAAGTTGGTTATTAACTGCATCCAGGTAAGCTGTCAACATTATAGATTCTCTGATTTTACTACGGGTGAATGAAATGATGCAACTTCTGTCCGAAGTATTCATAAGGCCATTTCATTTTAGATACTCATAGAAGACTGCGCTTTCATCAATAATGCTTATTACAAAAATGTGCCAATAGAAGGGAATATGTATAGCTCAGGGTTGAACTGTGGAGCCCTTGATGTTCTCTGAGCTTGGTTGTTTTCTTGCAGATCTTTCATTATCTGATTAATATCATCATCAGTGCTAGAAGGAAAAGAAGGATTTGCTCACTGGTGGGGTAAGCTACCTGTATATAAACAGAGAACAGACCCATCTCTCTTCTAGCCCAGATGATGTTACCTAGTTGGGTTATGAAACTTCTGCAATAAAGCAGTCAAGCTCAGAGAGCACCAAGGACCCCACAGTACTATTCTTAAGTTCTTCCTCTGCTTTTATTTTTTTTTATTTTGTTAAACAACTTCTACACTCATAAACAAAAAATGCTAAGGAAATACGGCTGCCCATGCTTTCCTAGCTCCTCTTAGCTCCTTCTTTTGTGTGAGTTGTTGCATGACTTTAGATTTCTCTTGAGTTATACGTATAGATTGAAACTGGATCGGCCCACATTTCCACGTAATCCCTCTGCTTTGTAAATATGCCAGAGCAAGAAAGCTCTCTCTTTGCTGCTGTCTTGTGTTGTGACTGTCAATGCTAAGCAGTCTAAGTATGGCCCTGTTGTTCCAGATTCACAATGAATTATTGTACACAGCTTCCCACGATGGCACACTAAGGATCTGGGACATCCGGCAGATTTGTAAACGGAACAAGCGTCGCTTGAAGGAACGTTCTATCCAGGGTAGACATTTCCACAAGGGAAGCCTACCTCGCCTTTTCAACAACAAAGTGGGCTGTGTGCTTCATCAGGAAAATGGAGGACCACGGGAAACTATGGAACTTGAGTGAAAACTGGAGGAGATTAGTAACATGAGTAGCAAACCAGGAGAACTTATGATCTTCTTCCCAGCTACTGGCTAGAGTCTACACCCATCTGGAGCTCAACCTTACCAAACCTCATTTTGCTTTGTGCCTGGCTGGCACTGCCCAGCACCTACCTGGGGTTCTGTTTCACATGAAGAAACAGACTGGAGTATGACAGACTAAATATGACAGACTAGGTCAGGGCTTTTCACCCTTTTCACCCATTGCACCACTTTTAGGATATGGCAATATCCGAGTACCACCAGTCGCCTGAGGTGTCAAAAACTTGATGACCCCCCCCCAAAAGGAAAAAAGTGATAAAATACAGGTAGTCCTCGACTTACAACAGTTCGCTTAGTGACTGTTCGAAGTTACAATAGCACTGAAAAAAGTGCCCCACAAGCCACAGCCGAGAAAGACACTTGCCTGCCCACCTGGCGGCGCTTATCCTCCTGTCCGAGATTTTCATAGTTGTGAGCATTTCTGTTGAGGATTGGCAGCTGGGCTGGGGTTGGGGGTGTTTGGTTTTTATTCCTCCCCCCCCCCCGTCTGCTGGGTGGTTGCAGCAGGTTTTGGTCACTTCACATGACCCTGGGACACTGTGACCGTCATAAATATGAATCAGTTGCCAAGCATCTGAATGTAAATCACAAGACCCTGGAGATGCTACAACATTCCAGCTGATCAGCGATTCTTCTGGGCTCAGCAGAAGCACCAGAATCAGCGCCGAGCTCCAGCTGGAGCCTGGCGCTGATCCTGGCGCTTCCCCTGAGCCCTGACAGCCCCGAAGAAGTGCTGATTCCACTGAGCCCTGACAGCCCTGCAGCTCCAGCCATCCCTCGCTCAGGCTTGTGCAGTGCTGCCACCGGTTCAGCTCATTTCCCTCCCCCGCTACCACTTTTCTAGGATGCTCGCGTACCACCTGCCAGGTGCCAATGTACCACAGGTGGTACCCGTACCACTGGTTGAAAAGCCCTGGACTAGAGTATGACCCCCCCCCTCAGATATGGGACAAATTTCTATCTTGATGCCAATGGAAAACAATGCTTGCTCACATTCTTGAATCCAATACATCCCCAATGTTATGAAGGAGGCCTACATTGCTAGTTTGTTGAGCTGTGGTGCCGCTTCTTGATTGGTGGATCATAGGATGATGCCCAGACATTGTTCACATTGAATGGTCCAGGGTTTGGGAACTGAATTCCAAACAACTAATGCTATTGGAAGAGGCAGAGAAGGAGATTTTTAAGGAACAGGTATATAAAATTTATCAAATTGGATGAGGAAAACATCTAAAGATACATCCAGAAACACATAAGAAAAGAATAGATGCTTTACGTGGGAGTTGATATCTGTTCCGTTTTTACAGATAGTTGAGGCCAAGTTTGAATCTAGTTGAGCATGTTTTATAGTTGAAAAAATTATCTTCCTCTCTCACTTCAAAACAGCTCTGGTGCATCCCGAACTTGACTGATCAGTAGTCAGTATAAATCTATTTTGGATTGACAGGACCTTCTGTCAGTGCTCTCTGTCCAGTTTTCACCAATATTTTAAAAAATCATAACCATGTACCATACTTTCCCCAACATACTTTTTTCTACATTGCTTCCCTAAGTATGTATATTATTATTGCATATTTTTTAAAGATATAATTCTCTGCTGGGAATTCCACAGTAGGCTGAAGGAAGCTTTAAACAATTGTGCAGGATAACACTAGTGTGATTGCTGCTTAAATTTATATTTTCGTTGCCCTGGAATTGCTTGGTACCACTTTCAAACGCTAGTCATGAAAAGTGCATAAATGTGTTTCTGAACATTATTGGCCAGACAAAACTACATTTGATAAAGAAATAAACCGGCTCTTATTGTAAATAATAATCTTTCTCAGGAGAAACTGCTCAACAAAAGCAGCTTTCAAGCTGGCAACTTGCAGGCTAGACTTAAATGTTCAACCTATGACCACAAATGAGATCAGAATTTCCATTGCTAAGCAAGAGAATTGTTGCAACCAATTTCACAACCTTTTTTGGCCATGGTTGTTAAGCAAATCACTGCAGTTGTTAAATGAGCGGTGTAAGTTATTAAGTGAATCTGGCTTTCTGCTCCCCGATTTTGCTTGTCAGAAGCTGGTTGAGAAGATAAAAAATGGATAGCACATGATTCAGGACACTGCAACTGTCATAAATATATACCAATTGCCAAGCACCCAAATTCTGATCATATTGTAAACTTTGGGGATGCAGCGACAGTGCTGAGGACTGTTCCTTTTTTCAGTGCTATTGTAAGTCACTGAATGGTTGTAAGTTGAGAATTTCCTGTAATCTTCTCTCCCTTTGAATTGGCTTGAATACCCAAGATGACTTTAAAGCATTCTGTGGGATTATATACACACAAAAAAAATACCGTTTTGATACTTAAAGCACCAAGAAAGAATCAACTTTCACTGTAAAAAACCCTACAAACCATTCTTTTTCTTTAAAAACAAGACTGAATTTACAGTTCAATTTGGGAACGTATTTCAGTATTGTTCCAAATGTGAAATAAGATCTTGAGATGTTTCTAAAAAGCAAATCCACTCATTTCCTCTGTCGACTGCTTAGCTCAGGTGCACCTATCCAGTAGCAAAGCACAATAGTTTGAAGGCATCAAGGGGCATCAAAGCAACAGCCCGCTATGTCATATAGATTAAGGACTTTCTGTAGATGATATTCATTGACCCTTTCTTGTAGTTTTCAACTTTCAACTTTCTGGATGCAGAGGAACTTTCAGTTCTGATGCAAGCTTTTCTTCTGAGGGAGAAGAGCTACAAAAGAATTCCTGGCTGGGGAATTCTGGGAATTGAGATTCACCCCTCTTAAAGTTGACAAGGCTGAGAAACATTGATCTAGATTCCATTGGTTAGATTAGAAGATGTAAAGGTTGGGTGCAGTTTTTGGGAGAAGGAACGTTTTAACTAATTGCCACAGGACTGAAAGCAGAAATGAGATGAATTCTTTCAGTAGTGAAGGTGTCATAGGTTGGATCATCCAAGGAGACCGTTCCTTGAGATATAAATCCTTGCAGGAATGGGTTCCAGAATTCAAAATGAATGAATATGGCTCTCTCTTGGTTTTGAGGTAGAGAATGGAAGTTGAGCAACATCTCTGAAGAACACAATTCATTTCTCAAAAGAGAGAGAAGAATTTTGGAAGACTTCAAATGTCCTGGTTGATTGAATTTTTCTTTCTGGGAATGAAACTCATCCTAGTTTTTCTCTCTTCCTAGTATTTGTTTAGATAACCACTGAGCCATAAACATATAATAGTCATTGTGGATTTTGTTTTAGCTGAAACAAATACTTTTAATCATTTGTGTACTTTGGGGGTGGGGTCCTTGTTACATACTGTAATCCTATCACTGTCCATGGGGGGGGGGGGAAGGAGTAAAAGAAATTGTGAAATAAATATTCTTCTAAAGAGAACATGGTATTGTTTGGTTTGGACTGATTTTAGTCACAATGAATGTGGAAGAAGAAGCGTCTTTGGTGTCCCAATTACTTTATTGAAACTGGAAAAAGTATAATTGTTGCTAATTGATAAACTTGTATCTCCAGCCAGGAAAGTATTTTCTCGGAAGGACAGTTCAAGTAGATGGTGTTGGTAGGCCAAGGTTGTAAGAAGACAAATGACATTTTTTCCAATATCTCATAAGAGGGAGGAGGAGGAGGAGGAGGAGGAGGAGGAGGAGGAGGAGGAGGAGAATCTCAATGATCATCAATGAATAGTTAGCCAACTTATCTTCCAATTGCTATAATAAGATTAGCATTCCATATAGTTGTGTCTATGACAAGGGTGGAGACCTTGATATAGAATACTAGGAATTCAGCAATTTTTAGGAGGGTCATCTATTTCCCTCTTCCAGTATGAACTACAAATCTTTTGATAGGAACCCAACTACAGTATTACATGCTTGCCCTTCTTCAAAACTTGGAAACTAATGAAACTTGCTTGCTAGCTGATGAAAGGAAACTGAGAAAGAATATTTTTTAATAGCTTTGTCATAATAACTAGCATATCTGCACTTAACTATTCTATTATTCTTCGTTTCTAAGGTTGCTTAGACAGTAAGGGGGAAAGTTTTTGGGGTCTCCAGATCTTGCTAAACCACAAATGATCTTAATATCTGCAGGTGTCAAAGCATTCTTGATTCGTCAAGATGACATCCAAATGTAAATAATTGCCAAATTCTTGTGAGATTTCAGCAATCTTCTCGAAGATCACATGAGAGCTAAAGGGTGAGATGGCTTTGAACAGAAGATTTGAAAGATCTCTCAAGAACTGGGATAATTTTAAATGAATATTAACTGGGAAGGTGAAGTGCCCAGTCCATTGTGCATAATTACCTTGTGACGCCTGTTAAAGTATCAGCCCACCTTGATTGAAAACTATGCCTGCTTGAATAGATCACAGTTACTATCTTCTGCTTATAATACAGAGAGTCCTTGAGTTAAAACCTTTTGTTTAGCAATCATTTGAAAACATGACATTGAAAAAAAAAAGTCCACTCCTCAACTGTCATAGCAACCCGTTATATGTTCAGAATTTGGGCACTTGGTAACTGCCATATATTTATAAGGGCTGCAGCATTTTGGGATCAAATGATCACCATTTGTGACCTTCCCAGTTCAGAATGGGACAACCCACCACAGCCAATTCTTTGCCAACTGGCCTTAGCCAACTCACCATGGCCAACTTGCCACAGGACAATTTAACAATTAAATTATTTAAAATAAATAATACATATTTAAATTTTTGTCATTCACATTTCATTTTGTTCTTCCTTTTGTATCCTTTCTTTATTGATTCTGTTCCACTGTTTCTTTGATGTTAGTGTAACTCTTGTCCTTGTGGCAAGTTGAATAGAATAGAATAGAGCCGGAAGGGACCTTGGAGGTCTTCTAGTCCAGCCCCCTGCTCAAGCAGGAAAATCTGTACCATCTCAGACAA